TCTCACTTATCTAAAGATAATATAAGCTTTATTCAATAAATATCTTTTAAATGCCAGGTAATAACAAGGAATCACAGCCCCTTCCATGCCATGGCCCCTGCTGATCTTCCCAGCCTCATGTCCTGTAATCCAACTGTCTTGCATTTTTTCTCCTGGTCTTAATTTTGTGGTTGTAATTCTCTAATTTTAATCTTCTTGCCTTTGCTTTTGACCTTTTATTCTGTTTAGAATTTTGTTATTTGGCTAAGTATTGCTTATCTTATAAGATTCAGGTCAAATGTACCTCAAGAAATCTCCCTAAACTTTCTAAGGTAGATGAAATAAATACCTCTCCTCTTTGCTTCTATAGCATATTATACTATATGGATGTTTATATTATCCTCCCCATTAAACTGCGAGCACCTCAAGGGCAGGAAAGCTCTATAGTCCAGGTCCTTAGTAGGCATGTGATAAATATTTATGGCCCTCAAGTGCATGAACATCTCTAGCAGTTAAGGGCATAGGAGGAGGTCATAAAACTGATGAACCTGTTGCCAGAAGTCTGTCTCTGTCACAACATACTTAAACACAAGAACTTACAATACCTATTTTACTAAAGTTGGAGCTCTGCTTTGGATGGTGTTTTAAATTTCTCATGAAAAAGGCAGAAAGAACCATGGGCACTCTCTTCATCAAGTACTCTCAAATGAAATCAGTTTGAGCAGTTTTCATTAAGATGGATTGAATGTGGCATCGTGAGAAACACTTTATCAAATGTAGTGTTTTACTTAGTGATTAACTATATACCAGTTGATGAAGCTCCCCAAATCCTTTGTAATCCCACCACTCCAATAAACATTTAATGAGTATATAAGTTCAAAAAGCCTAGCAGAGGATTTAAACCTTCAATCTTGTTTTTATTTACTCTTGGAACTCAATTTCTCACTTCAAGTAAAGAATGCTGGTGCTTGAGGCTCATCTGTTGCCCTGGTAAAATTAATGTGCCTCCCACAGTTTAAATTAAACATGTGATATTTAAGATGAAAGAAATTTAGTAAGAATGCCACAGTATCTGTCACACTTGCTTTTAAAATATGTGAACATCGGCCAACTGTTTTCTTAAAAATGTTTCATTCACAAGTTTTATAAAATAATATTGAAAAAGATTTGTTTTAAGTCTCAAATGTGAAATCTGAAAAGGAGAGATGAACTTTGAAATATAGTGGTATGGTGTAAATCACACTTAACCTGTGTTGGAACCTGAGCTCTTATTTGGCCTCCAGTACTTACTACTGATGGGCTTTGGTTAAACTGTATTGTGTTTCTGAGCCTGCTCATCTTTACAATGGGAATGTTGACATTATATGCCCCTATCTCACTGGTTTGTTGTGGGGTTCAAATGAGATACGTACAGGAAAGATGTTCTATAAATCATACAGCACCATATAAATCTGTAGTAACAGTATTATTTCTATGTGGACCCTGTTCTCTTTAATTAAAAGTAGATATATATAACTTGGCTGATGACCATAATAAATGTATCTGCTTAGATTTAATTCTGAATAAATTATCCATTATGTGGATAAATTTTACGTAAGTTTACAGTAATGTAATAACAATGTGTAAACAGTTGTTCTTTAACTTGTAAAAGAGAAATGAGGACAGAAAGTGTTGGATGAGGGGGACAAGATAAAGACAGTTTAGGAGTCCAAAGAGGTCAGTGGATTTTGGTATGAATCTAATATGAGGCAAAACATTTAATTTCACAAATGTGAAATTTGCTTTAACAAATGAAAATCATCCCAATGATTTTCATTTGTTAAAACACCGACACTAGTCAAAAGCAAACAATCAATAGTTTCATTAGACATATCCAGAAGTTAATAAGCAAGAGTTGTGTTCCCCTGGATAATCAGTCTGAATAAATCCAAATGCTAGTTTATTATATAAGACATTTAGAACAAGTTCTTTTGTCTATTTTGTACTGTATATTTATGGCTATTTGGGGAGCTATAGTTTAAGTTACAAAAGGCCCTAACATTTTCCAGTTACTTCAACTACTTTCAACCATATTTAGGTCCAATAATAAGTGATTGTTTAAATACAATAACATGGCCATACAATGAGAGACTCTATAACCTATTAGATTCCTGTTTTAATAAAGTATTCAGCATTACTTACAAAGCATTCTTGCAAGAAAAGTTTGATCTGAATCTGACAAAGCTTTTAGAGACCTGATATCCATTTCTCAGGAAATACAGGGATAGAGGAACAAGTTAAATAATATCACAAGGAAGCAATTATACAAATCCAGAATTTGGAACAGTCTATAAGTCATCTAGCATGATTTCTTCACAAAGCAAATGTTATTGAGGGGAGGGAGGGGGAGGAAACAGGACTGGGGAGGAGAGGGTGCTTGTTTAAAAGGAATTTAAGAAATCCAACAACTAAATATATTTTGTGATCCTTGAGTAGATTGTGATAAAAAAAAAAGTTAAAAAGACATTTTGGGAACAGCTAGTGAAGTCTGAATGTTCACTGGATATTAGATGATATTAGGAAATTACTCTTAATTGTTGTATGTGATAATGGTATTGTGATTATATAGGAGAATATAATTATTTTTTGGAAAATATATATAGATTTTTTAGGCATAAGATATGATATCTGTAATGTACTTTAAAATGGTTTAACCAAAAATAATGAATATACAAGGGTATCACGCAGTTTAAGTTTTAATTATTTCAAAACTTTAACTGCCACAAACTTAAAAAAAATCATATGAAAGTTCAAATTCTTTATATTTGTTTGTTTTTGTATATTTTGAATAATAAATTTTACATTTATTTTCTGTTCTAATCAATGCTTGCCATTTTCAGAGAAGAACTGAAACAAAAATTTATCATAAAAATTTATCAAAATCACAAAACTAAACAAGTATAAAAATGTGAATGATTACATTTCAAATGCTACTCTTTTATAAATGTTTGGCAGTTAAACTTTTGAAGTTATTAAGGCTGGGGCGCCTGGGTGGCTCAGTTGGTTGAGCATCCAACTTTGGCTCAGGTCATGATCTCACTGTTCGTGGGTCTGAGCCCTGAGTCAGGCTCTGTGCTGACAGCTTACAGCCTGGAGCCTGCTTCAGATTCTGTGTCTCCCTCTCTCTCTGCCCCTCGCCTGCTCGCACTCTGTCTCTCTTTGTCTCTCTATCTCTCTCAAAGATAAACATTAAAAAAAGAATGAAGTTTACTAAGGCTTATATCTGCATTGAAACTTTGGGATGTCTATATATGGAAGAAGCAAATATGGCAACATTTGTTAATTATTAAATCTAAGTATGAGAGATTTGGATGTTTATTGTACTATTCTTTTTACTTTTTCTGTATTAAGAATTATTTTAATAACGAGTTAAAATACTATAAAATAATTAAGCAAATGATCATGTTGTTAAAAGGTGAAAATAAGCTATTTTAACAGGATTATAACATGATGCAATAATATTAAATACACACAAAATGATTCATTAAAATATATTAAAAAATGGAAAGAATATGAATCATAAAACTGTTAATCTATGTTAGAATATTTCCTTTTTGCTTTTCAGTATTTTCCATAAATCTGTATTTATGGAAACAATAAACACGTAAATATTACAAATATATTAATACTACTGTAATTATTGTTACAAATATATTTTATTGTAAATATTTATTTCTTCAAAATAACATCCATTTAATAAATATGTAATGGTTAAAAAATAGATGTTTAAAAAAGCCTTTATAATGGGCTAGTCCACTATTCTTAGTTTAGGTAAAGAACAGTTTCTGTTTCTTAATCCACTTCATTCAACTATCATTGATTGCTCTAAGTTTGATCACTAATTATTGTCCATTTAAAAAATTTGTTTAAGATGAAATTTTCCTTAGGTCAGAACAGGAATTTCAGGAATTTCGGAGGAATTCTTACACTCTAGTCTCAACACTTCTTGCCCTCTTTAATTCTAGTAACTTTTCCTCCACTCTACACTATTTCTTCCTTCCATTCTCTTTTTTTCCTTCATTCAGTAAATATATAAAGTATTTACTATGTATAGGGATGTAGGTACACAGTCACTGCCAAAAAGAAAATCAAGTCTTTTGAGAAGACATATACAGAGAATAATTGTAAGCAATGTGTTAAATGTAACAATAAAAAGAGCAGAGGGTTTCCTTACAAAGTACTAAAGGAGGAGGTGGAATAGTGACAACAGTGGAAGAGTCAGGAACAACTAAGTCTTAGAGGAAGAGTAGGAGTCAACCAGGTAAAGGCAGAATGAAGGCATTCCTTACAGCAGAGAAGCATGAACAAAGAGCAAGATTATGGGGAAACACAAATGGAACATTATTACTAAATTTATTAATCGTAAGGCAGGGAACAGGAAGAGTTGAAGCCGTGCAGACAGGTAGGAGCCAGATTACTGAGGTCTTCACTGCTGTATCAACATATAGAGTGTACAGAATATTCTTGCTGCACTGTACTTTCTGAATTCTTGTCATAAATGTCAGTCTACCTGATTTCAACATCACAAAGCCCATTTCTATATTTTTGTGTCTAAAGTGAGTTTTGAGAAAAAAATATTGCAGTTATTAGATATGTTTTATTAGATGGTCATTTTGGGAAATGACTGAAAGAAACCTCTTTTAGCAAGAACCTGTCAATCATGTAACTGAAAAGAACATACACAGGTAGCCTGGTCCCTTCTAAGCATGTCCACCGCCCCCTGCCTCTCCCCGCCCCCCCCCCGAAAAAACCTCCTGTTTCAGAGCTTGACAAAGCCATCTACATGAGGCAGCAATACCCTATTATACTATTGCCCCTCTGAAATGGGCATCTTGGTGATGACTAGGATGGTAGATGAACCACAAACAAAATCAAGTCTTCAATCTGAAAAACACAGAAAACATTAAGCATTGCCTGAGGCCTGGTGGTAAACCTATAGGAGATGCACTTTTTAATCAGAAAACGTTTAAGATTGCACTTACATCTCGGGCTTTCACATAGAAGGCCTCTTGAAAAGCAGCTTCTAATGAGCCAATAAAAAATACAGGATGGCAGTCACCATATCTATAGGAAAAATTATGTCTATTAATTAAAATACATTTCAAATTTACCTCAAAGTTTCACAAGTGTAATCAGCATCTTCTAAGTAAATGTTGGGACTAGTATCTCTTAAGTACAGATCAAACATTAAAACATTTCTTTAAAGGCTTCACTAGTTCTTAGAAATTTTTTTGGCCTATACTGATTATATCAGAATACTGGAATTTTAATTACATCTAGCAAATGGATTTAATAAATGCTACAAAACCATGGCATTTATAAGTAGTGATTCTTGGTTATCCACTTTCATAAGATTTCCCTTACAGAAGCCTTAACTTTCCATTTTAGTTAACTTATTCCGGAAGTCCAACAGAGAGGGAAAAAAATTGTATCTTGCAAACTTTCCAAATTATATTACATTGGAAAACAGAACTAGAGAGAAACATCATTTAAACAAAAGTTAGGGTTAAATATTCAAATCTTTTTTACTTAAACACCTTACAAGAATCTCAAATGCATATAACACATTTTATAGTAGACTCTTAAAAGAAGAAATGTTAAACAGTTCCAAAACAAAAACTAAAAGAAAAATTCACTTATATTTAAAATTTTAAAATTATTTTTAAATTTAATACTATTTTAAAGGATATTTTTGTTTATCCTATGATATACTAAAAATCAGTATTCTATAACATAGTCCTTTTGGGAATATCGTCAATATATTAATTTGATCCACATTTTGTAATCCACTTATTTTGCTTCTATATAGAGATAACATGAATGCATCTCTGAAGTGGCATAAGTGGCTTACTAGTGAAACACATACTTTGAATACTTCACAGAAAAATTAAAGACAATCTGTGATTAAAATTGCTCCAGAAAAATCACAGTAGCATTAAAAAAACATCAATTTTATATATTTAATGTCCTAACCCTACCTTGAAGAAAACTCTGCTGTAAATTGTAATAAGGCATCTCCTTCATTTTCTGCGTTTTCTGGCACTAAAAAACAAACAAAAGAAAAAACAAAAACCAAAAAACAAAACAAATAGACACAAAAAACAAACCACATAACATCTAATCCCACATATAAGAAATATATTTAATCAATAAAGAGGAAATAAAATTAAATTTTAGCTTTTGTGATATATCTGGGGAGACATTTTAACTGGACATTTCATCAAACCTTAAAAAAATTCCAAGCTCATAAATTTTGGAAAACCAATTGACACGATCTTAAGTATTTCAAATATGTGCCAGTCATCATTAGGATTTTAATGTTGTCTTAAAATGGTATCTTGTAATTAAATTATGTAAAAAGGATCTCGAGTTTCTTAAAAATCTTATTTATAAGGAAGATGGTCAATTTTAAGTAAATTGACCACATCTATTTCTGCTCAAGGGAGTTACCTAATTTCACTGAGTAAATGAGCCATTTAAGGATTTATTTTAATGGTAATTTTGCATATAGTATCACTTGTGATTCTATAGTATATATTTTGTAGAGTGAAAGAAAAGGAGATGTCCCATTTAGTTTATTTTCTTTCCTTCGAAAGGTGATACCGGTGAATGGAAAAGCAATACTACTCTTAAAACTGATACCTCCAATAAGATGTGGGGAAACAAGTCAAGTCACAGAGGTATAGCTATTTGTTTATCAGGCTCTAGATTTAAAGTAAAGAGACAGACTCATAACTAATTATACACATGAAACAAACCTATACATTCCTTTACATTTTTAATGAATTTTACTGAAGCATTGGGAAATGTTGAGGTTAATAAAATAAAAATTCAAGAGGCTCTGGTTCTAATGAATAATGTGCCTACTTGCTAAATTTTCTCCCTGTAAACCTGGAAAGTCAGTAAGAGATTTTTAAGTTCATTGTTCTTCCCAAGTTTCTGCAGTAGAGAGTAGAATTATAACGTTGGACCCAAAGAGCTATTAATACTCACTCATTGGAGATTTTCTCAGGGCAGATGATGCCATGCCGAATACTTCTCCATCATCCACCCCAAATTCGGAAGCATCTTCAAAGTCATCTCCATCACTATCACTAACCATATGAACATCGGTGCTTTGCTATTTGAGAAAAGTCCTGATTAGCTTTAAATTGACTTTAGGAAATAAAATTCCAAAACATAAGTTATATAACTACAATAGAACATTAGTATTATAATAGTTTTATTAAATAAGAAGCCATTTGCTAGAGGAAATCTTAATATTTTTCATTTTAAGGCTTACATATTTCTAAACTTGCTGTGATACCCCTATACTAAAGGTTGGAACCTGAGGGAAAATGAAGGATGCTTACAAACTGAATGAAGACAGGGATTTTTGTCTGTTTTATCCCCAGCACATAGTACACAAGTAAGTGCTCAATAAATATTTGCTCAATAAATGAGGAGATGGGTACAGAGAGGTCAGACACAAAGCAAGCTATATGAGTCTTTTAAAAAGCTCACAGTAATCTCTATTTCAAACTGCCACTTCCTTACTGCAGTGGTTCTCAAATTTCTCATTAGTGAAAAATGGTACACTTTCCTCAGTGTTATTAGAGATAACATGAAATAACACTATATATGAAAGCTTTTTGTAAAGTATAGGCTATTAAATATGAGATATATGATTCAGTAAATGTTCATTTACTACATGTTGGGCACCGATAAATATGCTGTTTATTTTGTTTTCAGCAACATCCGTTGAGATTTAAAGTATTACAATTAAAAACATCAGCTTCAAAAAAATGCACTAGGCTGCTAATCTCTGGGTAAGAATAGAATTTCAAAAATACTGAGATCTAAAACACCCAAACTGTGAGTACTGACAAATATTTATGCCTTGAATGAGAAGAGGGTCCCAGCAAGGTATCTGGCTAAATGCCTGTCTATACTAGGTTCAGTAAATAGAATCTATAAAGACTATTTAATAAATGAAATTTCTATCTTTTTAAAATACGGTACTATGCACTTAAACTATGAAAATGGGGAAACTAGTTGATTCTGGTCTATGCAGAAGAGCCTAACTTAGAGATAAATATTTGCCAGGAAAGCATCAAGGGAAACTAAGAATGAAAGACTCGTAAAACTTGGCTAGAGGGATGTTAGAGTTTAGACAGTTATACAATCATAGATTTTAAAGCTAGAAGGGATTTTAAAGATCTTTCTTATCAATGTTTTACCTCTTTCCCCTGGCCCCATGGCAAAATATTATGTAAAATTACAATGCATACCATATACAAAAGTAAGGCCACTCTGGCTGATGCAGGGGAGAAGGCAATGGGGGAGCCTAAGGCTCCTGGCGTTGGCCTTTTCTTTCTCATATCCCTTTGATAGCTGGGGTACCTCCAAAGGATCTCAGAACACTATGAAACAATTTTTTAAAATAACTGATCCAGCAAGTCTAACAGCTCCAAATAAGAAAGCCAAGATATTTACATTTGACTCAGCTTAGCATTTCCTTCTTGGGCATAACCAAGCATTGATGCCCAGAATTGTAACATTTTTCCCTCTTATCTAAGCGACAGACTTCCCAATGGCCTGAATAGAGAAGATAATGAACAAATACTTACTGCATGAGTAAAAATGAATGGTCCTTATCCTAAGCAGTCTATCTGCTATTTTGACCATATTACTATTTCTCACAGACACCTTGGTTCTACTTAGGATTCTAATCCTACTTGAGTGTTTTGCTTTGTAGGGCCAAGATCTCCTCCGGATTTCAGCAATTCAATAGCCTCAAAATTCAAAAACCCCTTCTCATTTCAAAGTGGTGAGAGAGCATCCTTTACAAAACAACACATTTACTAGGACCATTACTGTGTCTGAATTCCCCCGCTATGTTTCAGTCTGGCAAATATCTGGAGCACAAAGTTCCCTGAACTTTGAGGCTCAGTCTTAAACAAGTAAAGGCTCAGGATCTAAAAGGTACACTACAGTTCCATCAGGATAGACTAGCGGAAAGAAACAAAGGTCTAGTATGACAAACAACACATTCTCTATCAGCTAAGCTCTCACCTTAGCTTTCACTTAGTCTTGCCTAACATTCATCTTTCCTTTTAAGAGGCATCAGGTTAAGAAGAAGGGTTGCAGGACACAGAGAGTAAAAAGAAAAGGATTGTTCTACATACCATTTTTTTCCTTACTCCTTTTACCTTACTCACTCCCCTACATCTAAACTTCTTCTCCTAATCCAGTTTTCAAATAATAGCCCCTTTCCCTAACAACAGGACTTTACATCATACTAAGATAGTGATTTTAATTTTGTGCCTATGTAACTAACCCATTATTCATTTTGTCTTCATAAAGTATAGAATTCCCAAATCTCTTAAGACCCAGAAAGCAAAATCCTACAACGACAACATCTTCAAAGGGAGTTATCTAAAAAGCCAATTTTGTTGAAAAAAGTATATTTCAAATATGAATTATTGAAGTATGTGCAAGAATGAGCTACTTAATTATGTATAAGGAACTCCCAATCTCTTCACATTTTCTTATCAGTCATCTAACAGGTTAGGAAAAGCTTTTTCTAAAAATGAGATAAACAATCTTTTTTTCATTAATGTTTGCTGATGAGAATACATAATCTCTTGGTTCAGTCATGGCAGCCTTAAAATTCTTTGAATCCAGAGAAGTTATTTATTCAGAATTTGAAAAGCAGCTAAAAAAAATTTGTGATTCTATTTTGGCTGTTTATTGGCATTCATTTATTCCCATTATTATTTAAAAACATTTACAAAGCCCTAGTAAATGCCACACTGCCTGAACCTGTATGCAAGGTAGTCTATATTCTCTTATGGAACACTATATAATATATACAGATAATTATAATATCTAATGATAAGCGTTATGACAGGTAAAGTTCAGAGGAGAGCATTTAATACACTGGTAATGAGAAAAATCAGAGCAAACTTCCTAGAGGAGAAAGAACCAAACTTTGAGACAAAATTTAGACTTATATATACTTGGCACTAAGGCAAGCTTATAACTGAAGTAGATGTTCCTTTCAGCAACTACTTGTACAAAGATATAATTTAGTTGCAGATGTGTCCTTTTCAGTGTGATAAGAGATATAATAAAAGTACAAGCAAAGGCTGTGGGCTAATAAAAGAGTTACTCTAGTACCAGTGAAGAAGACTGTGCAAGGCTTCACACAAGTGGTAATTTTAACCCATACTTTAATTTTTTTTTTCAATATATGAAGTTTATTGTCAAATTGGTTTCCATACAACACCCAGTGCTCATCCCCAAAGGTGCCCTCCTCAATACCCATCACCCACCCTTCCCTCCCTCCCACCCCCCATCAACCCTCAGTTTGTTCTCAGTTTTTAAGAGTCTCTTATGCTTTGGCTCTCTTCCACTCTAACCTCTTTTTTTTTTTCCTTCCCCTCCCCCATGGGTTTCTGTTAAGTTTATCAGGATTAACCCATACTTTTAAAAGAGATACCAATGTTGTACAGAGTATGTAATGGAAGACTGGTAGGGAGGAAGTTGTACTCTAGGCAGAGAAAAAATTCAAGCAAGGAATTGGATATTTAGAAAATCAATAAAGAATTCAGGAAAGCAAACTGAATCATCAACCCCACATATGGGAGAAGAATATGGACTAGCACTAAGGGCAAAAATTTTCAATGGAACTACGTTGCAGCAGTCCTTAAACTGGCATTGGTATTTGGACTTACTTTGATGACAACAGAAGAACTACAAAAGGTTTTTAGGCAGAGGACTGCTCAAGGGAACACCTCTGATGGCTCTGTATGTGTGTGCACGTGTGTTTAGGGCAGTATGTTGGCATATGGCAGCTTTGATTTGGAGATGTGAGAAGAAAAACTTATTTCAAAGTTCCAAGTGAGAGGACTTGAGAGCCTATACTTGAGCAGTAGCAGTGGGAACTGTGCTGACAGCTCGAGCTTGGAACCTGCTTCAGATTCTGAGTCTCCCTCTTTCTCTGCCCCTCCCCTACTTGCATTCTGTCTCCCTCTCTCTCAAAAATAAATAAAACATTAAAAAATTAAATATATATGTATATTTATAGATATATATAAAATTATGATATATAAATATGTAAACATATATATACTTATTTCAGTTGGCGAAGAAGGAAAAACAGTACAAGAGATGAAGAGATTAGCTGTCAAAAATTAGAAAGTTAGATAATAGCCAAATTATGGAAAGAGCCTAAATGTCCAACAACTGATGAATGGATAAAGAAATTGTGGTTTATATACACAATGGAATACTATGTGGCAATGAGAAAGAATGAAATATGGCCTTTTGTAGCAACGTGGATGGAACTGGAGAGTGTGATGCTAAGTGAAATAAGTCATACAGAGAGAGACAGATACCATATGTTTTCACTCTTATGTGGATCCTGAGAAACTTAACAGAAGACCATGGGGGATGGGAAGAAAAAAAAAAAGGTTAGAGAAGGAGGGAGCCAAAACATAAGAAACCTAAAAACTGAGAACAAACTGAGGGTTGATGGGGGGGTGGGAGGGAGGGGAGTGTGGGTGATGGGTACCGAGGAGGGCACCTGTTGGGATGAGCACTGGGTGTTGTATGGAAACCAATTTGACAATAAATTTTATATTAAAAAATATAGAAAGTGAGAGAGAAATCTTAGAAGCAAGGTCTGAGAAAATTTCAGTGCAGACAAGAACTATAAACAGGTTCAGTATGATGAAAATCAAGGAAGAGAGAGTTATTAGGTAGTTATTAGTTAGGTATTATGACAAAAAACCACATGAAAGAAACCTGAATTTATAACTGAAAGACCTGGCTCTACTATTTTCTGTATGACACTGGGCAAGTGTCTTTGCACCCCCACTATAGAATGTGACTAATACTGACCCAGAAAGGCTGCGGTGAAAATGAAAAGAGATGGCATAGCATCTTATAAAAATGAGTATCTGACTCATAAATTCAATTTAAATCACCTGATAGAAAAAAGCCCAAACTGTAGTCAGTTAAGTGAATAGAAGGTGAAGAAATAGTCATCCAGTGTAGATTAAAGCCTGAAGGAATAGTTTTTTTTTTTTTTTTTTAGGGAAGACCTGAACATGTTTTTAGGATAAAGAGAAGGAACCAATAGAGGGAGAGGATAAAAATGAAATAGAGACCCCTTGCTCCTCCCTTGTTGTGGGAAAGGGTAGTAAGGGTAAAATCAAGATAATGGGTAGAACATAAACTCTGATAGCAAGAAATTTCTCAACTAATAAATTACGGTAATAAATTTGATGCTGACATAAAAATATCCCTATTTGAATAGTCAAAAGGAAAGGGTCATAAAAATCATGAGGTATCAGTTCATTTGGTGCAGTTTCAAAGAATAGCAGGTCTCTCAGTGACTGGAATGAACAGTTTTTGGCTGGGGTTGACAATGATTATTAATATGGGTGAGGAGACAGGTTTCTGGGGAGATATGGTAAGTTCAATTTCGTACAGAGTGAATCTGCAGTGGGCACTCAGATGGAAATGTTCAGAAGGAACCAGACTACTATTTAGCTTCTCTGCCTGTGGTGCAATGCCACATACTATTGACTCCTCCAGCAATACATGGCATTGACCCTAGCAGTATGTGGCATTGCACCACAGGCAGACAAGCTAAATACTTGTCTCACCAAGTTTTAAAAACTGAAATACAGATTTTTGGCAATTATCTGTGTTCAATTTCATTTTGTTAGGTATAAGCTCCTTAATGGAAAGACTTTGCTTTGTTCAATGCTATATTCCTGGCACTTAGACCAGTACCAGGCATAAAGAGGCATGTAACCAGAATTTATTGGATGAATACTGAATGAATCTTTTCCATCACTTAAACCAAAAAACCTAGGTATCATTCTTATCTCTTCCTTTTCTCTTCTCCCACAGATCCTATCAGTCACCAGTCCTACTGATTTTCCCTCCAAAACACTTCCTGAATCCATATCCTTCTCTATTTTTACCAATGATATTCTAGTTTGGGATCTCATTATCCTTTAACTGTGCTAGTAAAATAGATTCATACTTATTTCTCTGCCTCCAGTCCTGCTTCCCTTACATCTAGCTTCTGCACAGCAGCCAAAGTGCTCTTCTCTAAAATGTGTATGTTAAAAAATACTTAAAAGTCTTCTATGGCTGACTAGATTTCAAGTTCCCAACTTGACCTATAAGTCCTATTCACCTTCACCTCATCTCTTATCTTTGTCTTCCACTTTATTTTGCACAGACACCAAACTGCACTCATCTCTGTGCATATACTGCATCAGACCATGTTGTTTCCTTTGAATGAAATTCTATTTCTATGTTTCTTCATTTGGGTGACTGTTCTTTATTCTTTATAATTTGATTTGGATATAAATTCTTCTAGTCTTTCTTCCTCCTCCTCCTCCCCTCCCAACTTACTCCTTTTCCTCTTCCTCCTACCCCTCCCTCTCTCCTTTTAAAAAAAATATTCACTCACCAATATTTATTTTGTGGCTGGTACAGGCCAGGTACCACACTAGGTGTTAGGGCTACAGAGGTGAATAAAGCAGACACAGCTTTTGCTTGCAAATATTCTTGAACATTGTGCCTCCCACCCCCATATTTGTGCTCCCCTAGTATCTTGTGCTTGCCTCAATTTTCTCGTTAATTATATAACATGAAATTACCAGGTTATATTCATCTGACTAGCTCATAGTGAGCATTCAATAGATGTTTCCCTAACTGAAGTTATTAACTAATTAACTAGTCAACTACATTTGAAGTTTATTTTTTTATTCTTGGGGTACCCCTCCCTCTCTATCAACTGAGAATTGGGTAATTCTCCAGAAGACTGGGTCCATGGGTCTCTACCCTGTCTCACCTAAGCACCTGGGAAAAGGAGAGGGAGATATTTAGCTAGGTACCCAGAGGTATGGAAAGATCATTAAAAGGTGGTCAGGGGCAGGGAAGGCTGGGAAGGAAATTAAAATGGTGAATAATCATAAAAAAATATAGGTATAGGACCAGAAGGAGGATATGAGAAACAAAATTCCCCCAGCTAGAGGACAAATAACTATAATCCATAATATTCAAACCTTAAATTTAACTACTGATCTCAAGTATCTGCTTCCTAACTCCAGGCTTAAGACAGTCAATAGAAAAATGGCAATTGTCCTGAAACATGAAATCATTTAGGAAAAGGGTTAAAACCATAAAAAAAGAAGCAGAACCACTGGATGGAGGCTGCAGGAACACAGGTTCCAGTTTAATATAAGGAAGATATCAACAGACAGAGTTGCTCAACAATGGAACTGGTTTGCCTCATGAAACAGAATTTTGTTACTGGAGATAAAACACAGGTATATTTTGAAGGTATATTCTGAGTGAGCTCTTTCAGCATACAGACTATGGTCCTAATGTTTAGCACCTAGAAGACATTAAATAAATGTTTAAATGAATGAGGGATGAATGGAGAGAAGACTGGAAATCAAATTAAAAAATCCCTTTCAGTTGTATAATTCTAGGACAGCATAAAAGCCCAAGTCACATTTGTCCGTCCATTTCTCACCAGCCACCTGAAAGGGTGATATTTACAATTAGCCGGAAAAGGAAAAGTAATAGTTTCATCCCAAATAATCACATTTTTAGATACTCCCAAGACTGTGACTCTTTAGTTTAGCAAAGCCTCCTAACTCCACTCTACTTCTTCTCTAACCTAGAGTGTGCCAGCCTCATCAACACTCCTTTTACTATATGGCACTGACTTCTTTTTTGCTGAAGGGTCTGGCCAAATAACACATATTTGTGAGAGTGAGAGAAGGAAATAAAATGAAGTGAAACAGGTTATCTGTCACCTTTCAGAGCACAGAATAATGGGGTGGAGCTAATTGGCCACATTTTAATGTAGTGGATTTATCCATTAAAGAGTTGGAGCATAACCTGCTTTAGCACTAAAAACATACTCAAGCACTAGAAAGAAATATTTCTTTTTTAAAAATGTTTATTTATTTATTTTTGAAAGAGAGACAGAAAGCACAAGAGGGAGAGGGGCAGACAGAGAATCCCAAGCAGGCTACACACTGTCAGCACAGAGCCTGATGTGGGGCTTGAATGCACAAACTGAGCTGAAATCAAGAGTTGGATGCTTAACTGACTGAATCACCCAGGCGCCTCAAGAAAGAAATATTTCAATAAATTATTTCTGGCAATTTCTGCCAAACAGTGAAACTCAATATTATGTTTTCTTTCATGAGGATTAGGGAGATAAAATGCTGAATAAAATAGTGTGGGCTCTTTAAAGGAAATTAACATTTTTAGAGGCCCAAGAAAACAGTGCAGTAGTATTTGTAGCAGAGGAAAACCCTTTCTTTCTTGTGGATTTCTAAAAAATGTTAAAAACCAGAGCAGCAAATTATCATTTTCACAGGATGAGCAGGGACTAGAATATAATTTCTCTTTCACATATTTAAGTGATATAAATACATACTCAGAAGATGGCTGGAAAGGTCCTGTGGGAGCTTCCACAATAAGTATTCAAAATATATAGTCAGTTTAAATAAAAATTTGCAACTATATTTTGTATAGAATGTAAATGGAAAAAGGTTTGACTGGACTAGTCCATCTGTTGAATACTTGGATCATACGTTAGCCTGAAACACTGAAATAAGTAACATTTTTTTTGTATTATTTAGCTATGACCTCTATCAATACACTTTTTTTTTTTAACATTTATTTATTTTTGAGACAGAGAGAGACAGAGCATGAACGGGGGAGGGGCAGAGAGAGAGGGAGACACAGAATCGGAAGCAGGCTCCAGGCTCTGAGCCATCTGCCCAGAGCCCAACGCGGGGCTCGAACTCGCAGACCGCGAGATCGTGACCTGAGCTGAAGTCGGACGCTTAACCGACTGAGCCACCCAGGCGCCCCTCAATACACTTTTTTAAGTCATGGTGATGATTTTTCTTAGCACATAGTGGGAGCTCAATAAAAACTTTTTAAACAGCTAAACTGTAATGTACAATCTATCTTTCCCCATTCCCTTGTATCCAAAGTCATAGGTGGACACAGAGTGCTATTTGTAAGCATGGAAAAGATATTGCCTTTTAACACTGTTCAGACCCATAAAGACACACATCCCATACACAAACACGCTGAATCTTATCTGCCCCTCTTCTCTTTTTATAACACCCTATATGCTATCACTGCTTTTATTACATTATGCCATTATTATTAATTTGCTAATTTACCATGTTTGACTCTGAACACCTTGGTATAGAAACAGTGTTATTCACCTTTGTTACCTAGTATTAAGCACAACATCTGGCTCATAGAAAGTGCTCCAACTCCAGGAGTTAAAGGACCTTCAGGATCAGTCCTAATAACTGTATTCTACTATATAGTTAGCAGCAAAGAAAATCCTTTAGTCAACCTGTCAATTCTAAGTAAAATTCATTTCAACCAATTCACCTGAATTCTGTCTGTTGAAACATGAAACTTATACACCAAGAAGGAGCACATTAGCAATAAACTCGCATGAAAAGTTTCTGTCTTCAAGAATTTACTGAGACTTTATTCACGCTACATTAACTTTATCTATTCATTTGTGTGGCAGATAAAAAAGAATAGGAAGTGGGCAGGTAGGTGAAAGACAGGCCTCCTATTCACCGAAAAGCTGGCAAACAGGCTTACCTCTTCGGACTGCTCCCGGGTCTGCGCAGGTGAAGATCTTCTCCCCACTGTAAGTCGATGGCAGGGATAAGATAGCCCTGATTCAGCAAGACACATCTGTAAAAAGAAGAATCCATCATTTGTAAACAAAATGAGGCCATGTTTCACAAAAGGACTTTACTTTTGATATTTTCTATTATTTTTGAAGTTAGACTAGAAAGCTCACTCTAGTAGCCCATGCATTATATTACCAGGAAGGCTTTGAAAATTTGAAATTTTTCCATATATGGGATGTTACAATAGTCAAGGCCTCTTTTTTGTTGGCTTAAACAACATAAATCTATTTTCTCACAGTCCTGGAGGTTGAAAGTCTGAGATCAAGATGTTGGTTGGCAGGGTTGGTTTCTTTTTTTTCCTTTACTCTATTTATTTTTTTTCTTTTATTATATTTTCTTTTTATTTTTTCTAGTTAGAAACATTTTATTAAAATGTACCAGATTAAAACCCACATTTTCAGACCACAGGATGTTAATACATTCAACAAAAATTTATATTATCCTACTGCTGTGAATTTATAGAGTGATAACCCAAATCCATTTTGATCAGATAACTGAAATACCCTTCCTAGGTTACGCTTTATAGACATCACAAATCCCTTATAATAATGTAAACAAAATGACCCTTCCCTAAAAGGTGAACTTGAGAACTTCAGTCCACCTTTTCAGGACTTGCACTTCTTTGTGTACTTCCTGATGGGGAGTGGCTTCTTTTGGAAATGGAGATCTGGACTTTGGCTGATTCTTTTTTTTTTTT